AGTGTATCGTAGTGATAACGTTCACAATGTTTCACATGTATCATGATGTATTTTCTTTGTTTTATAAAATGTATCATAGTGTGCATTTTCGTTATTCTCATTGTTTTATAAAGGGTATCACATTGTGTATCATGTATGTATATTTGGGTATCACAGTGAATATCATTTGTAGGTATCACAGTGTCTATTTTGTGTTCACATAAGGTTCATCGGAATAAAGTAAGTCGAATAAGATTTGCCGGAGAGAGGAAAGAGGAGAGGTGAGAGATGATATTTATAAAATCCCTAAAATGCCCTTAACTAATATTTTAAGTAAAAATTACCAAAATTAGTAATTTCCTAATTTAACCTTAGAGTTGTGGTTGAGATTGGATCTCACGGTTACCACAAACAAAACAGTTCTCATTTTGATTAGGTTTCTCTCTCTCTCTCTCTCCATATATATATATATATATATATATATATATATATGGTTGGGTTTACATTAGACCAGACCATTTTCGTGAGACCGTTTTTTTACACTTGAAATTTCATAACAAGATACTGTGAAGGTAAAAGAAATCCAAACCTTCATAACAAAAACACTGTGAAGGTAACCTTCATAGTGTTTTGCTGCGAAGTTTTCAGTGTAAAAAAGTGTTTCACGGGTCTCACGAAAACAGCTTGGTCTCACGTGATCCCAAGTGTGTGTATATATATATATATATACACACACACACACTAGAAATGTACTCGTGCAATGCAGAGAGATACATATCGATGTTAATGTTTCGTTTTATTCTTATCTCTATCGATGTCAGAATATGATTTTATGTGGTTTTAAGAAGGGTTAATATTTTTATTTTTAAATAAAATATAAATTTGAAGATGTCATAAAAATTTGAAAAAATAATATAATATAATTTTTGGTTTAATAATATAATTTTTTAAGTTTTATAACAAAGCAATTTATTTTTGGTATAATAATATAATTTTTTATAAAGATAATATCTAAGTATTCTATTAAAACTAAATGATTATCTTCATTATATTTTATATTTTTTATAATTAAAATGAGATGTTTATCATGTATCTATACTATATTATAAAACATTTGACAAAAACTCTTAAAAACCATTTTTTATGCATAAAGTACTGTATATTGATACATATTACTTAAAATTCAAGATTACAAGTAAATTATGCATAAGTACAACTTATTAAAACTTCATGTTTGAATTCKTGTAACTAACTGCGGATAAACATAATCAAATAGAGAATAAACATCTTATTTTAAATATAAAAAATCAAAAACATAATTAAGATAATCATTGAGTTCTAGCATAATACTTAATTATTATATTAAATAAATTATTTTATTAAACCAAAAATAAATTAGTTCATTTTTAAACTTCAGTTAAATTACAATAAAAAATTGAATTAAAGAAATTACACAAAAACAAGAACTTTTAAATAGTTAATTTGATACTAATATTGCTTGTTTTTTTAAAAAATTTATAATATCTTCAAATTTATATTTCATTAAAAATTAAAAACATTTTTTTTCTAAAAACCATATAAAGTCGCATTATAACATCGATAGACCCAAAATATAAAACGAAACAATAAAACCATGATGTATCTTGCTGCATTGCGCGAGTACCCTTCTAGTTTAACTATATTTATTTGCAGTTAGTTACATGAATTCAAACATAAAGTTTAATAAGTTGTAATTACGCATAATATACTTGTAATCTTGAATTTTGAGTAATATGCATCAATAAACAATACTTTATGCATAAAAAATGATTTTTAATAGTTTTTTTGGTTTTTTATTTTTGTGTTCATTTGTAATCACAATGGATTACTTGGTGATACTTATTAAGTTTTTTGGTGTCCACAATATGTTAAGTTTAGCTCTATTTTTTATATTATTTTATTAATGAGAGAAAAGAGAAAAAGGAGAGAGAAAAGAATATTTATAAAATACTAGAAGGATACTCGTGCAATGCAACGAAATACATCTTGATTTTAATATTTAATTTTATTTTTTATCTCAGTCGATTTTATAATATGGTCTTATGTGATTTTGAGAAAATAATGATGTTTTTATTTTTGAATAAAATATAAGTTTGAATATATCATAAAAATTTGACAAAAGTATATCGATATTAGTATCAAATTAACTATTTAAAATTCCTCATTTTTTGTGTAACTTTTTAATTCAATTTTTTTATAATTTAATTTAGGTACAATAACGAAGTAATTTATATTTGATTTAATAATATAATTTTCTTATAAAGATAATAATTATTTATTTTGTTAGAACTCGATAATTATTCTAATTA